AGTTCTTAACACCCTTAGTCTCAACGCGACGCTGACAGACGATGGGAGGGAGTTACTGGGCGATGCCCTGAGGCCCCCGAAACATGCAGTAGGTGCCTATGCGAAGCCGCCTGTGACCTGCTGCGGCCAGGGCGACCCATGGGGCCTCTGCCACTGCAGTGCGCAAACGCCACGGAAACGCTGCCTGGAGACGCAGATGCCAAGAGCTTCCCTGGCCTCCCACTGAGGGCGGGGACCAGGTTGAGGGAGCAGCTCTGCCCTGGGCATTGGGCAGCCTCATGCAGCAGGGGACCTGCCCAAAGGGGATTTCACAGATGGGACGAGCAGCTCAGCAGCTTGTCTCCCCCGCCCCCAGGCTGCTCCAATGCAGGATTTCACCTCCCCCAGCCTCTGTCTGGTCTCCCTGCCTGCTCCGTGCAGGGGGTGGCAGGGGCGCAGGCAGAGCACGTGTGGGGAGCAAATGCAAAAGCTCGTGGGGTTGGGGCCTTGATCACAGAACTCCCCGCACAGGGCTGCTCTCAGCGTCTCCAGTGCAGCTGGGCCCATCTCTGGAGGGGCCAGACAAGCCCGAAATCCCAGTGCACACGGGAGCTGGCCACACTGAGCACCGCGTGCACCGAGGACCATGCACATCGAGCACCACGTGCACTGTGCATGCACCAAGCGCCGCGCGCCCCGAGGGCCATGCACATCGAGCACCACGGGCACTGTGCATGCACCAAGCGCCGCGCGCCCCGAGGGCCATGCACATCGAGCACCACGGGCACTGTGCATGCACCAAGCGCCGCGCGCCCCGAGGGCCATGCACATCGAGCACCACGGGCACTGTGCATGCACCAAGCGCCGCGCGCCCCGAGGGCCATGCACATCGAGCACCACGGGCACTGTGCATGCACCAAGCGCCGCGCGCCCCGAGGGCCATGCACATCGAGCACCACGGGCACTGTGCATGCACCAAGCGCCGCGCGCCCCGAGGGCCATGCACATCGAGCACCACGGGCACTGTGCATGCACCAAGCGCCGCGCGCCCCGAGGGCCATGCACATCGAGCACCACGGGCACTGTGCATGCACCAAGCGCCGCGCGCCCCGAGGGCCATGCACATCGAGCACCACGGGCACTGTGCATGCACCAAGCGCCGCGCGCCCCGAGGGCCATGCACATCGAGCACCACGGGCACTGTGCATGCACCAAGCGCCGCGCGCCCCGAGGGCCATGCACCTCGAGCACCACGTGCACTGTGCATGCACCAAGCACCGCGCGCACCGAGGACTACATGCCCTGAGGACCATGTGCACTGAGCACTGCGCGCACCGAGGACCTTGCACACCGAGCACTGCACGCACCGAGGACCACACGCACCAAGGACCAGACACACCGAGGACTATGCACACCAAGCACCGCACGCACCGAGCACCTTGCACACCGAGGACCACACACACCAAGGACCATGTGCATCGCGCATACCAAGCACTGTGCGCACCGATGACCACACAAACTAAGGACCGCACACACTGAGGACTGCGCGCACCACGGACCATGTGCTCCGAGGACCACACGCACCAAGGACCGTGCACACTGAGGACCATGCACACCACGGACCATGCGCACCAAACACCGCACACACTGAGCACCGTGTACACCGTGGACCATGCACACTAAGGACCACGCGCACCGTGGATCATGCGCACCATGGACCATACACACTAAGGACCACGCGCACCAAGGACCATGCACACCGAGCACTGCATGCACCCAGCACCACATGCATCAAGCTCACTTAGCCTGCCTGCAGCATGTCCTGAAGGGACCAGTCCCATGCCGGAGCGTGGACTGGGCACAGCCTTCTTACGTCTCCTGGCTTGCCTGGGAAAGGTGGGCAGTGTGCCTCGCTCCATAGGTGCTAGGAAGAGCCATGTGGGCCGCAGAAGGAGGTGGAATTGGCCCTGGCTAGAGCCGGCCGAGCACTGTCTGGGGGACGTGCAGACCGATGCCCAGAGACACCATGTGCACTGCGCCAGGCTGCCGGGAGCCCTGGAACCAGCTGAGCTGAGCCCTCTGGGGTCGGACATGATGTCCACACGCTGCTTAGTGATCAGCCGCTAGGCCCTGGGCCCCACCCTTGGACAGAGCTCAGCCCATGTCTGCAGCAGCTCACTGTGGGGCCCGGGGCTGGGGGCCAGAGTCCTCCTGCTCTCACAAGGTGCAGCCCATGCGGTGCTCTGGGGTCCAGCCAGGGCTTCCCAGCCCGTCAGCCCCAGGCAGCGGGGGCAGGGCTGCCCTGTCCTGTCCTGGGGCTCTGGGTCGCCCCAGGCCAAGGCTCAGAGCGACGAAGGGCGCTCCCGGGCTTGGACTCTTCATTTCTAGGCTGTGTGGAGCCAGGACCGGGCTGTGACCTCTGCTTCCCTTCCCAAGCCTGGCAAGGCTGCCCAGGGTTCCCGGTTTGTTCTCGTCTGTGCAGGCGCTCTGAGCCCCCAGAGCAGCAGCCCAGCCATAGGCATCACCATGGAAATCCAGCAGCAGAGTCATGGCAGCGGGGGCCAGACCCCATGCCAGCGAGCACTGCAGAGCCCGGGTGGCCCATTACCTCAGCATGGAAAGCCAGGTGCCTACCAGACCCACCCCTGCAGCGGCGCGGGAGGCGAGGCAGGATCCGGGGGAGCAGCGCTGCAGGAGCGGGTCTGGCTGGGCACCTGGCCTCCAGCAGATGTTGAGCTTGTTTCTGCTGGAGGCCTTCCAGATGACCTTCCGAGTGCTTCCTGGCCGGACTATGCTTACAATCCAAACCATCCCGGCCAAGCAGCCCTGGGAATGAATCTCCCCCTCCCGCGATGCATGAGGGAAGTAGTGGAAAAGGAGGTCCAAGTGACACTGGAGCTTGGAGTCACTGGGTGCTCAAAAAGTGGTACTTGTTCTGAAGTCCAACGGGAGCATCCAATACTGCACAGACTTCAGGAAAGTAAACACCATCTCCAAAGTTGACACCTATCCAATGCCCTGGACCCAGGGACTCCTGGATCGCTGAGGGACCGCAGACTAAATTACAACCCTTGATCTGACAGAGAGTTATTGGCAAATCCCCTTGGATCCGGATTCTTGGGAAAAGATGATGTTCACTACTCCATCTGGGTTAATCATTTTGTCCAGATGCCCTTTGGCCTCTATAGGGCCCCGCCACCGTCCAGCGCATGATGGATCGCCTCCTGAGTCACCATACGGACTATGCCCCTGCCCTACCTCAATGATTCGCCATTTGTCGCCAGCACCGGGAAGAACACCTACTCCAAGTGGTGGCCGCCCTTCGGACCCTCTGGGATGTAGGTCTCACAGCCAGCCTGAAGAAGTGTGAGACTACGTACCTGGGGTACTGCTTGGGACTGGCCTGGTGTGCCCCTCATAGGAAAGGCCCCAGCTGTCCAGAGTTAATCCATGTCTGCCACAAAGTGGAAAGTGTGGCAACTGCTGGGTCTAGATGGAAACGACCACCGCTTTGTCCATGGCCTCTGAACCGCCGACAGCCCGCAGCATGCACAATGGCCAGCGGAGTGCGGGAAGGGATTCCAGACCCTCAAGAACAGCGTGTGCAGGGAGCCGTCCTGTTCTGCCCAGATTTCGAACGCCTGTTCCCAGCTCAGGCAGATCTTTGGAGGTCGAGCTAGGGGCTGTGCTCTCCTACAGGAACACTCTATCCTCTAGATCAGCTGGAAGCTCTTTCCCCGCATTGAAAAGGAAGCCCTGGCCATCAAGTTGGCAACTGAGGTCCTGTGCTACCTTCTTGGGGGGTTCTTTCATTTGAACAGTGGACCATACACCGCTGAATACGATTGCATATGATGGTTGCATACGATGAAAGGCACCAGTACCCAATAGCGAGGCGGCACCTCTTGCTGCAGCAGTGTGCACTCCTCAGCCAACACCAGCAGGGGATGGAGAATACCGATGCGGGCTATCTGTCCCGCCGGGGAGCGGATCAAGGGGACTGCCCTGGAAATCAAGAGCTGACTTTAGGGGGGAGTGTGTAGTGGGACAGAGTGGCTGCCCACTGATCTGGAGTGGGAGAAGCCCCTCCCAGAGCTCTGGTGGGTGGAGCCTGGCCCCATCCGATCAGCTGACCAGAAGTCAGGAGGCGGGGCTAGTAGTATAAAAGGCTGGCTCAGGAGCCCAGTCAAATGCCTGCACTGCACTTCCCACCTGGGAGGCGAATGTGGACCTAAAGAGACTGAGGACTGGCCAGCACCTCTGGGCCTGCAGATAGACTATGACCTGGAAGAACTGCCAATTCTGCCGTGGAGTCAGGGATGCCTGGGGGGCTGGGAATGTGGATGTAGCCCAGGAATAGCCGACCGCAGTCTGGTTGACTAGCAGCCTGTGACTGGTGAGCGTATTGCGGGGAGGATCCCTGTGGACCCAGGAGCTGACGGAGCTGCCAGTTAGGGCCCAAGGGTGGAAGTCTCCCCGCTCTGCTGTTCCAGGCCAACCATCTGGGCTGGTCGGCTCTCTGCCAGAGCTAGGAGACTCAGCTGTTTGTTTGCTGCCCCACCCTGAACCAGGGCCTGGGCCTAGTGACAGTTGGCTCAGCCCATCATAGACTTGAGCCCCTGGACTGCTGTCGCCAGCCCTGTGTGAGGGCTTGGTGTGTTTATTGTTGGCTCAGCCTGACCATAGGCCTGAGCCCCGGACTGGTGGGGCAGCTGATGCCCCAGGAAAGACTGAGCTGGTGTAGCAAGGTGGAGCCCTTCCCAGAGCCTGCGTGCGCTGAGCGCGAGGTATGCCTTCCCACCACTGCTGCTCGCCCTCCTGGAGACTTGCTTACTCTCTGGGCCCCGTCACCTGTGACACGCGGGGCCTCAGAGGCTGCTCCCAGACCGATATTACAGACTTATACAGGTTGTTACTCCTCCTTGTTAGCTGCATCAGACTAATTATGCCAAGTACACCATCTGCAGGAGACAAGCCAGCTAACCAGCACCTGCTGCCCTCCATACATTCAAGCCCCAGAGCCTCGCCCCTGAAATCACTGCAAGGAGATAACCATGAGAATCCAGCAAGAGTTTTATTTTGGAATGGCAGAATGAGGCTGTTTGGATTCACGCCAGCAGACCCCTTTCCTAAACACCCAAGTTTTCCCTGTCAGAGGGCAGTTACCACACCCTCCACTGGAGGCTGGCTGTCTTTCTAGACCCACTGCTCTAGCTCTCTCAAGCTCAGGGCCTGATGCAGGGCTCTCTGGGTGCCATTCTGTGGCCTGTGCTACACAGGAGGTCAGAGCTAGGGATCCCCATGGTCCCCCTGAACTGGAGATCACTGCTCATCCAAATACTTCAGCCTTTTCAAAGGAAAGAGGCAGAACCAAGGGTCCTTCTTGGTATCTTGTGCGCTGAGTTCCACTGTGCTAGGCTGTTCTGTGAGGCCCTGACACCCGCCTAGAGAGACGAAAGGTGATGTTCTCGATGAGCTGCGAGGTGCCGACGAGGACACAGGAGACCGGAATAAGAGCAGAGCAAGCTCCGGAAAGGAGAGGAAATGCTCTGACTGGTAAACACAGTGAGATTAGGGTTCTATTTTTCATACAAATGGTACATTTACCCAGAACAAGGCAAAGGGCTTGAGGCTAAGCTTATCTGTGTCAAGTCCACCCTAAGAATTCCTATTCATTTCAGTGGGACCAGGATTTGGGCCCTCAGCCATCTGAACCCCTCTATAAAGAAAGAGTGAAAAACTGGAATTAAAGGCCCCAGCCACTGCATTACAGGCCTTGAAATGTTTAAACCAGACTCCATTTCTACACATAGTAACAATAGACACGGCAGTGTCTCTGCCCAGCTGCCTGCTAACTGTGTTCTCACTAGTGAAAATCACAGAGCCCCTTCTGCTAAGCAAAGATGAGAACAACTGGAAACCAGTGGCATTGCTGCTAAGAGCCGGGAAACACAAAAACATGCAAATAATAAAGAGCAGGTGGGAATCCTTGCCCCAGACCTCGGGTCTGGACAGAATACGGCGGCATATTCCCATTCGCAATGCAGACAGCTTGCCAAGGACAGCTTAGCTCTATTGCCAGATGGGCTGCCAGAAGGATGGGGAGGACATATCCCTCCCGACAGGGCTCCAAGGGGCAATGGGTAACGAGTGACAGAACTCGAGAGATCAAACAGAAAAATGGAGACCAAACTAGCCACACGTGTGCTGTGCTTTGGGAAGGTAAATGGAAAACGTCAATCGGAATAATCACTATCAAAAACTAAGGAGCAAAATGGAGTCGTGTGCTGGGCCGGGGCAGCAGAAAGACCTGCCTTGTCTGAAGCCATGGGGCTTGGGACACTGAACCAGGTCATGTGGTTTTCACCATTCAGGTCACTCTCCCAGGGTGAGCCCTCCCAGAAAGAGAGAGTACGTTGGGTATTGCAAATATCCAGTCTCCTCTGGTGTCCCGGGATCCCTCTTCTCTCGGCTGCAGGCCCTCGCCTGTTCTCACGGGAGTGAAGCATGGACAAGGTGCTTTCTTTCTGCCTGGGTGGGACCCTACTTAGCTTCTGTTGCCTGGGAACTGAAGACCCCAGGATGGAGTTCTCTGAATAGGGCGTAACTGTAACTGTAATTGGGGGAGAGTCATTTTGTCGAGAATCCTCCAACTCCATCCGCCTGCTGGTCATCTTCTTCTTCGGACCCCTGTCAGGACACTTGGGAAGGTCTCCTTTTCTCTTGGTAATGTACATTCTTTTCCTTGCCGGTATTTTACTCCGGCAGGGGTTTTTGAACTTTTCTTTTTGTGGCATGTTTCCTACAACTGTGATATGTGTCTTGTTGTCTGTGGCAAAGGCTTTGCGGCTTTGTGCTGGAGGGTGGAAAAGTTGGCTCTGATTTTGTGGTGAAGGAGTCATAGGCTTGACTCGCTTAGAGTCTTTCCTGACTGCCTTCCTCAGTGGTGTGGTGGGAGGTATTTCTTGTGGGCGCAGCCAATGGCTCCCGTGACTACCCCCAGACATGCCAGGGTTGGAGCAGCAGGCAGGTGCCGGGCTGTTAGCAGAGGGTTGTTTTGCTAATGCAGACTCCAGCTCTTGTGTCATTACATTTTCTTTGCCTCGCAAAGCTACAGTAGTGAGATTGGCCCCGCTTCCAGCAGCTGTGTTCAAAGCACCTCTGTGTGTGTCACCTGTAGCTGTGTGAGTCTTCCTAGGGGAATCGCCACGGCTGTTTGCCATCGGCATGGTGTGCAGCTGAGTCTGAAACCAACCTGTTCTCTGGAGCCTCCTGGCTGGATGGCACTGACAGAATGTTTCCTCTGGACCGAGTACACAGTGGCCCTGCAGTGTGTCTGGAGAGGTCTGGGATGCGTTATCCTTCCTGCACCTGGGGAATCGGGAAGCAGAAATCAATGTCTGCAGTTCCTCTAAGATGCTGGGCAATGGCAGGTGATTTAACTGTTCACACAGATTCTGATGCTGCTTATTCTGCTGAGACGTGAGCAGTTCCAGACTCTCCTTCAGTGACTGTAAATTGGATTTCACATCTGACAGCTCCATGTCTTTCTGGGGAAAGTAGTTAGCAGAGTAGAAGTATTAGGCCACTGAAAACTCCAGCAGTAACATTCAACCCCCCAAACCCATCTTAGGTGGCCCACATCACTTTCACATCAACCCCTGGACCAGAAGCCTGGATATTTCAGTGTTGAGCCAGTGATAACATTTCTTTGGGGGGTCCCTAGCCTCATGAAGACAACATGCCACTTCTTCCTGTGGCTAATTGCCTGCCCCACACATATACTGAGGGGCCCTCTGGGAATCCTGCTCCAACTAGACAGCCCAAGTCTGAAATGTCAGTCTGCACCTTTCTGACCAGTCAGAGTTGGCTTCCTACAATTCTCTTCCCCTCTCACTGACGGTGCAGCACTAACTTTCCATGAGAAACATCCCCACCCCTCTTTATCAGGGACATACTGCATCAGCAGGCTCCAGCCTGTCAGGAAAGAGAGTTATTCACTCTGTGCAGTACCAATGGTGATGTCCCTGGGGGTGTTCCACTGCTGGTATTGGGATCGTCCCGGCGCCACGGATCGGAGACTTTCAGAACAGTGTTCAGGCAGGCTGTGCAAACAGCGAGCGGTGTTCCTGCCTTTGAAGTTAGCACGCACTGCCTGATTCCCCCATTTCCTCTTTGACGCTCTCCTGGCAGATTACTAATGCCGAAGAAGCGGGGAGAAGGGCGGGTCGTGGAGCACCCATGGGGACACACATCTCAAAGAACAATCGTTACTGCACAGAGTAACTTCTCTTTCTCCTTCTAGTGATGTCCCCGTGGGTGTTCCACTCTCGGTGACTGTGTAGCAGTGCCCACTGAGCTGATGGTGGGCTTTGGCTAATTGTTACAGGCTTCGGAAAGGGCCACAATGGCTACTGCAGTATGTTGTCAAGCATGGTGGAATTGCGTAGTGCTTCATGAAGGTATGACTGGATGACCATCTGGCTGCTCGACATATTTCGTGGAGTGGGACTCCCAAGGAAGGCAGTTGATGTCATCGTCACTCTGGTGGAATGGGCCTTTGGAGTTGTCAGTACTACTGTATTCTGGAGTGAGCAGCAGGTGGTAATGCAAGGTGTTATCAGTTCTGATATGCGCTGGGAAGAAAGTGGTTTTCCCTTGGACCTTTCGGCTAGGGATACCAGCAATCTCTAGGATAGTCAAAAGGGCTGAGTTCTGCTAGATAGAAGGCAATGGCTCTTCTCACATCTAGAGTGTGCAATATGGCTTCTTCCCTGGAGCAGGGTGGTTTTGGGTCGAAGGTAAGAAGGACAATCGGTTCATTGATATGGAATTTGGAACCAACTTTGGGTAAGAAGGAGGGGTGGAACCGTAGAATAACTTTATGCTTGTGAGAGGTCATGTATGGAGGCAAGGCTGTGAGAGTTGCAGGATCGCTAGCCCTCCTTGCAGACATGATTGCCAGGAGGAACAAAGTTTTCGTGGTGAGGAAGGTAAGTGATGAAGTTGCCATTAGCTCAAAGGGTGGCTTTGTGAGTGAGTAGAGGACCAGTCCTAGGTCCCATGTGGGAGGTAGGGGTTTACGTGGTGGGTGAAGGTTCTGTAGGTCCTTCCAAAATCTTTTAAAGAATGGGGTGGGTAAATATAGACAATCCATCAATGGAGGGGTGGTGGAAGGCTGTGATCATGGCCAGGTGAGCTTGGAGTGATGAGAGGGATAAATGTTGTTTCAGGTGCATGATGTATTCCAGGACCAAATGGAGCGGAGCTGTAGATGGCTGGACTCCCTTCTGGGTGCACCATTGCCATTTGTGAAGGTAAGTCTTGTGTGTTGCTTGTCTCTTGCAATGGAGTAGGACAGTTCTTACTTGTTGCGAGCACTGTCGCTCCACTTCCGAGAACCAGATAGGTACCACGCCGTCAGGTGCAGTGTTTGCAGCTGGGGATGAAGTATCGTGCTCTTGTTCTGGGAGAGGAGGTCCGGGTGGGTTGGAAGCAGGCAGGGAGGTCGCAGACACAATTGATAAACACATGAGAACCATGTCTGTCAACACCACACTGGGGCTATTAGAATCACATGGGCCCTGTCTGTCTATCTTCCAGAGAACTCTGGGGATGAAAGGGATAGGAGGAAAGGCATATATCAGGTGAATATTCCATGGGAGGAGCATTGTGTCTCCCAAGGAGCTGTGTCCTATGTCTGCTCTCAAAGAGTATTGGGGGCATTTGGAATTTTGGCTGGTTGCAGAGGTCTATCTTCTGTCGATCCCAGCGTTGGAATAGATCATGGGTGATCTGACCGTGCAGTTCCCATTCGCGTTCTGTGAGAAAGTGGCGACTGAGGGCATCGGCCATGGTATTCTTGTCCCCAGGTAAGTATGCCGCTGTGATGGTTATGTTGTGGCGGATACACCAGTTCCAGAGCTGGATTGCCTCTGCACATAGCGAAGGGGATCTTCCATCCCACCCCATCAATTGGCAGTTGATGTAGAACACTGTGGTCATATTGTTGGTGAGGATACGCACTGAAGATCCCTGAATGTGTGGAAGGAAGTACTTCCAGGCATTGTGAACTGCTCGAAGCTCGAGCAGGTTGATGTGGAGTCTGGATTTGTCTTTGGACCACTTTCCTTATGCATATTATTGTTGGAAGTGTGCACCCCAACCTATCAGTGAGGTGTCCATAGTGATTTGTTCGGATGGTTGATCTCGGTGGAAGGGCACCCCACTGCAGAGGTTCTTTGCCTGGTCTACCACTGTAAGTAGGTAAGGACTTTCGGAGGAGGCGAAACATGTCTGTGGATGTAGTGGCTGGTTGGTGTATAGATTGAGGAAATCCAGTGTTGGAAACAATGAAAGCGCAGTCTGGCATGTAGGACAACATATGTGGTGGCTGCCATATGCCCCATGAGTTTGAAACAAGTTAGGATGGGGACGATTGGGCTAGTGGTTATGATTGTGACCAGGCTTCTTATATTGTCAGTTCAGTGTTTGGGCAGATAGGCATGTACTGTTGTGGAATCTATGCGAGCCCCTATCAACTCTAGGGATTGTGTGGGGTGTGGTGTGGACTTCTGGTCGTTGATAATGAAGCCTAGAGACTGAAGGAAGGCCTTTGTGAATCTGATCGTGTCCCTCATAGTTTGTTGGGAGGGACCTGGGATGAGGCAATCGTTCAAATAAGGGAATACTGTGATGCCTTTCCATCTCAGATGCGGTGCTGCAACCGCCATGATCTTAGAGAAGACTCTGGGGGCACAGGAGAGTCTGAACGGAAGGGCTCTGTCCTGAAAATGGTCTGAGGCTACTGTGAAGCGTAGGAAACATCTGTGCACAGGATGTATCATGATGTGGAAATATGCATCTTGGAGGTTGAGGGTTCCAGGGCTGGAACGATCGTGGTGAGTGTAACCATTTTGAAATGCTGCTTGCAAAGGATTTGTTTAATTGACGGAGGTCTAAGATAGGCCTCCAACCCCCTGTTCTCTTTTCGGTGAGAAAGTAGTTTGAGTAAAAACCTCTCCCTTCATATTGTTTGGGGACTCGTTCTACGGCTCCTACATTGAGAAGGTGTTGAACTTCTTGGCAGAGCTATATTTTGTGAGAGGGGTCCCTGAAGAGGGAGGGAGAGAGTGGGGAGATTGCGGGGATCACTATGAAAGGGATAGAATATCCACAGCTGATGATTTCTAGAACCCACCGATCTGTGGTGATTGCTGCCCATTGGTTGTAAAAAGGATGCAAGTGGTAGTGGAAGATGTTAGACTCGCTTGCTGGTGAGGAGGGGAGGTCAGGCAGACCGTCGACTAAATTTTCAAAAGTGCTGTCTAGAGACCTGAGTCGCAGATGAGTGTGTGTCTGGGGTTCTTCTGTGTTGGTTTTGCAGTCAGAAGTAGTTTTGTTCAAATGAGCGATACTGCTGCTGCCTGCCAAAGGTTGTATCCCTGTGTCTTTGGGAGGGTGTGTATTGCTTCCTTCAGTAGGGGTGGTATACATCCCCAATGTGCGTAAGGTAGCGCATGAGACTTTGCTGAAATGCAAGGCTTCGTCTGTCTTTGCAGTGAACAGTTTGGCCTTATCATATGGTAGGTCCTCTACCTTGGCCTAGAGATCCTTAGGAACTCCTGCTGCTTGCAGCCAAGATGAACATCTCATTGCTACGGACACTGCTGTAGCTCTTGCCTCAGTGTCGAGGGCCATTTGTAGAACTGTATGGAATTTAGTATATCCCTCTTTAATGATGGCTTTGAGAATAGGTCTCGTCATCTGTGAGATATTGCATGAGCTCTGTTAGTTTTGCATAGTTATTGAAGTCATGATTAGTGAGTAGGGCTGTGTAGTTAGCTATGCAAAGTTGAAGGGTTGGAGAGTACATTTTCCTCCTAAACACATTCAGTTTGGATTTTGTAGAGGGCTGAAGGTTCTTTAAAAGCCTGTGGTGTTTTTCCTGCACCTTCTGCTAACACGACCTTCTGACTTTCAGCCACTTTTGAATAAGTCCTGGAATTGTTTTAAGTCATCAGTAGGTGTTGGGTCATTTGGAATAACTGTTCCATCAGGAGCGGAGGAGGAGTTATTGTTTGGTGGCATGTCTGATTGTTGGACCATCCTCAATGCATCCTTCCTCAAAATCTGTGCCCTCAGAGGGGGAATGCGATGGATCTGAGTGTATAAAGCTGTAGGAGGTGCAGTGGAGGTATGTCGTGGTGCCCCATAACAACAGGGGGACCATCGGCTATTAAGCTAGGAATAATACTACCAATCAGGGTGCCACGGGGGATATTGATAATACAATAGCCTGTATGCCCCATATGATGCATATGCTCTGTCTGGGGAGGAGTGCTATGAGGAGAACATACTCCTTGTATCCCTGTGGTAGGCACTGAGGCTATGTCTAGATTGCAGCCACAACTCAACCATCCCAGCCAGGGCTTTGTCAAGCCGAGACTTAAAAACCTCCAGGGATGGAGACTCTACCTCCTCCCTAGGGAACCCATCCCAGTGCTTCCCCACCCGCCTAGGGAAATAGTTTGTCCTAATATCCAACCTA